TCCTAGTCGTCCACTCCCTCTTCTCCAAACGACACCGTTCCCTCTTCCTCTCTTCAAATATATAATTATGTTTATATATTATTATTATTAGTATTATTACCATATACATATATATATATATATATATATATATAGAAATACAATTTTTTTTTTGTAATCCAAATATCAACTACTACAGTTAGCGAATATAAGATGTTTAGTAGTAATTATAATAATTATATAACTTGTATTTAAATTTACTATCATTAATATATATATATTTTGTATACATTATATTTAATTTTAATATATTTAATAATAAGTGCAATAAATTCTTTTAGTTAGTAATAATTATTTTATGTAACGTCTCATTTATTTTTATGCAAAAACATTTCTCAAACTTATTATTAATATATATATATTTTATATGATATTTTTATTTATTTTATATAATATACAATTGATGTTATTTTGTTAATCATATTTTCCTTAAAAAATATATACATTATTTATATTCAACAAACACATTGTTTTTTTATTTTTACTGGAAGCTTTTTCATGACATAATATTTTGTAAATTTAATAATAAAAACAATTACAATTTAATGTAATTATATAAATTATATATATCAATATCAAAAAGAAATAGACACGAATATCATGTATAAAAAAAAAACTAATTATTATATATTTTAATTTTTTTAAATTAAACATAACTACATTGCTAAAAATAAAAATGGTCATACAATTTTCTTGAATAATAAAAATAAATATTTAATTTTTTAAATTAAACATAACTAACAAATGTGAATATACGTAGTCGTAAAATTTTTTTTTAGGAAAGCATTTGTTCCTAACGTCACTTAAGCTTTATCATCTCTCTCTCTTTCTCTCTTTCTCTCTCTCTCTTTTTTGGACCATCATTTTATATTTGCTATCTTTTTCTCTTGTCATAAAAAATGGGATGTTACCGTGATTTTCACTAGTTGTACTTTTTTCTTTTTTTAATTTTATATTTTTACTTTTTTTTTAGTAATCATATCTAGTTAGTATTTATCACGAAAGATTTATAAATTTCATTTTATTTATAATAAATTTTTCGTCTCTTTCAAAAATTTATTGTTAACTTATAAATTGTATTTTTTTTTAATTTGTGGTCAATTTGCCAATTCTTCTTATGCTTATATTTAATGCATATAAAATTAAAAGAAGATATAAGAGTAGATTGTATTTATCACATAGTGTTGTGTAATTTATATCATATTTAATTTTATTATTTTTTTAAATAAGTTATTTTTTATAAATCATTAAAAAAGAATATTTAAAAATTTAAAGATATATGTACATACACATATTAGTATTTGGATTTATTAAATTAATTATAAATGTTTATGTTTTAATTATTATGTTACAATTTTAATAAAAATATTTTAACCATTAAAAAGTATTTGGGAACTAATATGTAAAAAATTGATTAACAAAATGTGATGTAAAATCAGACCGTTAACAAACCTCCACTTCTCCAAGGTGGCCCACATGGGCAAATAGGAATCTTGACCGACACGTGTCAACGGGAAACTGACTAGTGAGACAACTGTCTTTGCTTGAATTGCAGGTGAATGAATCCCGCTTTAGACAACGAATCATTTCGCAGAGAAAAAAAACCGCAGAGCAAATGACAAGCGCAGGATAAAAAGGTTTGTTAAGGATTTCTATGATTTTCTAGGGTTTAGATTTCCAGTTACCAATTCAGCAGGAATTATCCGTGAGCCGAGAGAAATTTCTCGGACGGTCAGAGAAAGAACAAGAACATGAGAAACGAAGACCCCGATAATGTACCAATAGCTTCCTCGAGCACCAGACTGAGGACCACGCCAGACCCGTTCTTGGTCGTTTGCAGATGCTTCAGCCTCATAACTGCTGTCACCGCGATTCTCTGCATTGCTGTCAATATCCTCTCCGCTGTTCGTTCGTTCAAGAACGAAGCTGATGTATATATATCATATATTCTCTTTAGCACGTGCATCTGTATTCTTGTCTATATGCGCATATGCATGTTATCTATTTGTCTGCGTATGTCCATAGAGCATGTGCTTATGATTGTTATGTGGTGACGGATGTTGTGTAGATATTCGACGGGATATTTCGGTGTTATGCTGTGGCTATTGCATTTTTCGTGGTTCTTGCGGAAACAGAATGGGGATTTATCATCAGATTTTGGAAGGTTTTCTTTCTTTGTTTTATCTTGTGAAATCTTGAAGACGAATATAATAATATATATATAGTACTTGAAATCTGCCCCTTCTTTTCGTTGCCTTGTTTTATCCTGTTAGGTAAATTATTTGGCAGTTAATGAATCTTATTAAAGGAAGTCTGCCGTATTGGTTTCCTGTTGATTTCTATTATAGCTTTATGTATTAGGCCTTTTCGCAATTATAAGGAAATGAAACTTAACTATCACAAGAAGCATGATTTTTTTTTCTTATTTTAGATTATTATCCTGCCATATTCAATTCAAAAACTCATTCTAGTTATTTGGTCCAAGAGCTAGGTCTATCTAATACTTTTAGACATTTTTATTTTGTTGGTTGAAAAACAAATGTGAATGGAGAATGCCTACCAGCTCTTGGTTATCTGTAACTTGATCTACATTGAAGTTGTTAAAGCTGAAAGTAAGTGAAGATGGCTGATAAATGGAGATACGTGATGCTGGACATCCAAGACTTATTGTAATCGATAAGTGAATGATGAATCAATGAGTTTATAAAGCATCCATTTAGTGAAAAAAACTATTTCAATTTCCACTAGATGTGAAATGAACTCTAAGATTTCCATATTTTCTAATTAAAATTCATGTTCCTACTTTGGTGTTAATTTATATTCTGAAAGGTCATGGTTACTCAGTTATTGTTTGATTCAGGAGGGGTCATTGTGTTATAATTCAACTCTGAAAAGATTATTTCATTCAACCCAAACTTGTAAGCAGATATACTTCCTCTAAAAGCGATGTCACATTGTTTCCTACCTTTAATTGAAGCTGTTTGTGTACAATTAAAAGGATGCTCTTGGATTTTCCTTTCTCACTTTTGTTGGTTGAATTATTCAAATGCCAGTATATTTTGTTCCATGGAGAGCAATACTCATTAAGTGACAGTAAGAATAAGCACCTCAGTAAAAACTATTCCGTAAATCCAACAAGTCCTCTTTGTGCAAGGAAGAAAAAGAAATTCTACAGCTACTACAGGATTTGCTTCCTTGCCCATGTTGTAGAAGTTGCAAAATAAGGAAAAGAAGTAATGATGTTCCATTAGGGAATTATTTAAAATTTTACTTTTATTTAAATGTTTCAGCATATATATTTTGTCCATCTATGATACTTTCCTTTGTCACATAATTCTTATGTTCATATTATTCTGAACATCTTTCAGGTATTGGAGTACTGGGCTGGTAGGGGTATGCTTCAGATCTTGTATGTTTTGTGCTTAACAAGAACTTTCTTTTTTATTCTCCTCTTTTTTCCATTGTGTCTTGAGATTTTTCCTGTTATCAATCTAGTTCCTTCATAATATCAACCTAAATCCAACACAATAACAAGGTTAAGCATGTTTGGATCCTAGGAAGATGCCCCTCTATGGGGGCTCGTAGCATCATTCAAACGTGAGCACTGAGACTCCCATTTCATTGGTTATAGACAAGCTTTAATTGCAGCAAAACATATTGTTAGCTTTTAAAAGAGGGCTAAGTGTGACCACAGAGCAATTTATTTAGAATATAGTGCAAGCATCACAAATCTCCTTCAAGATTGAGGTCACTGCAATATAACTTACATTGGACTGTTATCTAACCTTGAGAAACTACTTTTAATCCATTGTGCATAACCACATGCTCTCTAACATGCACATACAACATAAATAATACGTTCACCTATAGTTTAATCTTCCTTCAGTGTTGCTGTGATGACAAGAGCTTTCCCTGATTATACTGCCAAGCAAAAGGATCTCGTCCTTCTTCAAAATATAGCAAGCTATATGCTCCTTGCTTGTGGTGTAGTCTATACTATTTCGGTAAGAAAATAGAAGACCATCAACTTGCTACATAATGGTGTAGCAGTCCTTTTTTCCTTTTCTTTTTAGTATAAATATCTTACTTTTTTTTCTATTTAGATTGGTAGAAATCTTTGTTTAAACATCTTAACGAAAAATTTGAAGTTTAATTAATTTAATCCTTAGTTTATTTCCAAAAAAAAAAAAAAAAAAATTAATTTAATCCTTAGCTGATTCAACCTAGCTTTCTCGCTTTTTAATATGTCTTGCTCAGCAGGTTGAGGAGAGATTCAACTAAATGGCTTCATTTATTAATTTTCTTTGGTTTCAACAGCTTTGATTTAGCCAAATAAAAAGGATTCTAGTTTTTTTTAAAATTTTTTATATTGGTTATCTTTTTTTTATCTTCTCAGGGTTGTCTAGTTTTGAACTCCCCTTGTGCTTTGTGAATAACTTTCTCTTTTTCTTTTTCAGAAAATGTTTACTTTTTAGCTGGAACTTGCTGGTCACTTGTGTTTAGATATGATTTTTTATTTCATAATTCGTATATAAAAATAGATAATGTTGAAAACCTAATTGCATTACGAACTACCAGGGACTTCTATGCATTGGCTTTCTTAAACGTGCTAGGCAGCTGAAAGAAATTTCGAGAGAGGAAGCAGTCAGGGATCTAGAGGTAAGCAATCATGGATTCATAATTAGAAGTCATCTGAGAGTTTAAATGATGTTTTGTCATTCAAAAGGCTTCTCTTCCTTTGCTCTTGATTTTTTGCCACGACTTGATTTTTGGTGGTTTAGTTACAATGATTGATTCTATAGAGGTAGAGAATGTGATTAGCACATGACCCCAAAAAGTCATTTGGTTGAGCATCATGGTTGCAAGAAAAGATTTTGGTAATCAGCCAATGAAGATCTAATAAAGGACTCTAGGACTAGACAATTTGATAATGAAGAACCATCATATTTAACTAGTTTCGTGAAAATGTTATAGTGTACCAATAGATTGACATGGCTTCTGCAACATATTTTAAATTTAGACCATCTAATAGGTTATTTGGATTTACGTGTAAGTTCCATACATCCAGGAAGGAAATACTTCCTTTGGTTCGAGCTACTAAATATCAGGCCTTAATTTTTAATTGTCTTCTAAACATATATGGAAACAAATGAAACTTAAGCCTGACCTTTAATTGCTTTCCAACCTCAGAATCTGATGAACACTATTAGATGCCACTATGGTGACCAATAATCCATAATACCCCATTCCTTTAAATAAAAGTGTGTGAAACACCAAATTTAACTTTTATTTATGTTCTGTCTGCGTGTATGGTCATTGCTTAGTTTCCTAAGTGGCCATCTACCAGGATTCCTATCGGGTAGGTGGATTCAAATCCGCAGACTGGTTTTCAGCCTTCTATACTGGGGTATATCCCCTCAAAATTGGCCAGCAAAAGAAAATGTGTACACCAGTCTGTATTACATTGTCATATGGTTCAGTTTTATCGCATGATGGCCCTCATACTTGTGTTAAATTGTCCTTTCATCCGTAATGTAAATATGGGGAGCTACTTGAGTTTTATAAATATTTAGCTCTTCTCAATTTCATGCTTCCATCAACAAGGAGTTCATAAATAAATAAATGATTGGATTTTGTTGACAACTACAGGAATTGGAGCGACGCAGAGCGGAACTTGAACAACTTCTGGTGCCAGAAAGAGCTTGAAATGATCCATCTGATCAGCAGGAAAATCTTTGTTTACCATACCACAGGAAAGTGGCTGCAAGTTGTTCGTCGGGTGTGTCAAAACTGTGTTTGGCCAATTGTTTAGCTCTCACACCGAGTTTCTTAGAAACATAATACCTGAGGAGCATGTCCAGGATTGGGAAGATGTATAGCTTTGTGTGAAGACATTTTTATAATTCTTTTATATTCTCTATATCAGGCAATTGTTGATTTTAAGTAAAAGAGGTCTCAGTTTCCCTGGCCCCTAAACAAATCCTCCTTGTGTTTAATTTTGATTTTGATATTAACTTGTATACCTTGGAAACTACTTAATCATAAGCAGTCCCAACTGAGTCTATATAGGCATATGTTATTTTCCCTCAAATTGGAGTAAAGAGGGAAAAGACATTTTTATGGAGACAAAATCTCCAATAAGCGTTGCCACCACAGTAGGTAGAAATTTGGGATTGAAAGTTGAGTCTTCAAGGATACCCTGGCCAGGCTGAGGTTGCACTTGGGTGAACTTGGGTTTGAACCTTGTGCTGGACTAAGTTATTCTTTTAGTTGGCTCGAAGCATGCTCAGATTGAGACTGTGGTCTATGTCGCATGGGGCCAACACCATTCCTCACGACAACCCGAGCCGGGACCATACCTTATGCCAGGGTCTTTTGTTGACCCATGCTTTCTTCCAAGATTGCACCCCAGGTCTAGTGCGCAGCATGTTTTGCGGTCTAAGCCTCGTGATGCAGAAAAGCTGTCTATTCCGAATTGGGTCGAACCAAATACAAAAAAGTACAAAGTTCGTTTGAATGAGGATCAAACCAAAGTAAGAGAGGGTCAGACAAAAATTTATGATCATCGAACTCAAATAAGGTTTATCCTAAACACTTCATCCATCTGAGAAGGTATCATCAAGTTTTTGGATTTTATTGAGAGTTAAGACTGTACTCTGCTGATAAGAAAATAAAACGTGAAGACATTGTTTATCTAATAATCCATAAGAAGACATTGAGACTTTGTTTGTATCAGTTTTTACGTACACAGATATACATATATTAGTAAACATAATTCTTTGTAAAGGCTCATATACATAAGAACCTAGATTTTTTTTTTTTTTTTAAAAATGCGTCTTTTAATTAAAATCTTGTTATTTAATTATTTCTACAAATAAAACCAGTATAAGTGTAGAAAATAAGTTGGAATTGCGAGACGAAACCTTAATTATAATAATTTTGGACTGATTTCGAAGACTCCCTTTGGACTGAATCGACATGCCTACTCTTGTAAAGCATTCTAATTATAATAATTTTTTGTCTCTGGAAATTTATTTTTAATTTATAAATTTGGATTTTTTGAAATTTTTTTGGTCAATTTACCATTTCTTCTTATACTTATATGCAATGTATATAAAATTAAAAGAAGATATAAGAGTAGATTGTCTTTATTGATGTAATTTATATTATATTTATAATTTTAGTAGAAATTAAACATTATATTATTTTTAAATAAGTTGATTTTTATAAAATATAAAAAAGAAACGTAATGTTTAAGAATTAAAAAGTATATATATATATACACATTTTTAGTATTTGGATTTATTAAATTAACTATAAGAATATTGATGTTTTAATTATTACATTATAATTTTTTAAATATTAATATTTTTAGTATTTGGAATTTATACGTGGCATTCTGAAAGAAAGAATTAACAAAACGTATGATCCAACTACCTTGGATGAATTGTAGGGGAATGAATTTCGCATTTAAGAACGAATTATCTCGCAGAGGAAAAACCCTCCGAGCAAATGACAAGCGGAGGGGAAAAGGGTTTGCTGCGGATTCCGATGATTTTAAGGGTTTGGATTTCCATTTGCCAATTCAGTAGAAATTTTCCATGAGACGAGAGAATTTTCTCGGTAGGGCCAAAAAAACACCAAGAACATGAGAAGTGTTGGATCGAATGAGTAATAGCTTCAAAAGAAGCTGAGACGGTGAGCAAATTTAGAGAGAGAGAGTCAAGGAGAGAGAGAGAACTGCAAAACAGAGTTCAAGACTGCAGCACCCTCTGTTTCTTTAATTTCAGAAGAATTTGGTTTCTTTTTGTTTTTTTTTTTTTGAAGAGAGGAAAAAACTAACTTTATTGAATTGCACGATTACATTTATAAACACGGAGTTGTGTTTGATTACACCAAAGATGACCTGATAAAATAAAACTCAGAAATTCATGTTAACACGCTGCATGGCAGCTGCACAGGTTGCGGTGAGGTACTTTCTTCACAACCTACTTTTGAATTTAAATTTGAATTAAGTAAATGGATAAGATCGGTAAAATCAACACTCCCCCTTAACAATTTTATCCCTGATTCCAATTTTTCTTCGCAAGTCCTTAAACCTAGCCTTAGGCAGCGACTTTGTAAAGATGTTTGCAAGCTGCTCATAAGTTGGGCAGTGTAGAAGACTAATTTCTTGGTTTTTCGTAGCATCTCGAATGGCATGGAACTTTACTTTGATATGTTTGGTTCGTCCATGCATGACTGAATTTTTGGTGATAGCAATTGCAGACTTGTTATCTACTCGTATCACGGTTGGTCTGTGTAATGCATACCCCATGTCTGCCATTACT